CCGTTAATCCATTCCGGCGTCCGCGGACCACGCATCAGGGGCGGAAAAACGGCCGCTGACCACGCGGCAGGGCGGAAAAATGGCTGTGGACCACGTGTCAGAGGCGGAAAAATGGCCGCAGACCATGTGGAACAGGCGGAAAATGGCCGCGGACCACATGGCACAGGCATAAAAATGGCCGCAGACCACGTGGAACGGGTGGAAAATGGCCGCGGACCACGTGGCATGGGCGGGAAAATGGCCGTGGACCACGTGGAACGGACGGAAAATGGCTCGTAAGTCGAGGCGAGTTCGTAAGTAGAGGTAAATTTTGGGGGCCGGAGCTGATCGTATCTCGAAAATTTCATAAGTAGGGGCGTTCGTAAGTAGAGGTAAATTTTGGGGGCCGGGGGTGATCGTATCTCGAAAATTTCATAAGTAGGGGCGTTCGTAAGTAGAGGTACCACTGTACCAACTGTTCTCTCTCGCACACAAATCATTTGCATTAAATGCACACACATGTATTATAGATACCTTTCACCTGTCTACCAGCAGAAATAGCAAAAATACGGAGAGAAAAAAAAATCCAGGCAGAGATGGGGTGAAGGAAAGAGACAGCTGCAGTAAAATTAGGGAGAAACAAAACTAGATCATGATGCTGTAAGGAAAGGGACAAGGAAAACGTTAATACCTTGTTGAACTGATTCTACATATGCAGATACATTATCTAATAATAGTCGAATATCTGTCTGAAGCATGGAACATTAATGGTTTTATGTTCATATTTTATCATTCTATTGTTAATATCAGTTTATGTTTCCCTTGAGAACTGGTATGGTAGAAATAGCAGGTTCAGAAAAATACTGTAAGAAGAAACTATTGCTTCTTTTTGAATGTTGTTTTCTCAGATACAAGTAGGTTCTGCCAGATGCTGTGTTTTGTTTAGGCTCTAACGTGATTTCAAATTCACAAATTGAATTTCCTGCCTGGCAGGTAACCAAGTTGATGTACAACAAAACAATGAAAAATTAATTTAAAACTTTTACATCAGAAAATTAGAATCAGAAAACATTAAACCATGTTGAAACATTCACAACTGCTGTCCTTAAAGTGCATAGAAAGGGAAAGGCTCTAACTTCTCTATGAAGGAAATATTATAATCAAAACACTCAAAAAGCCTGTTTGTATTATCTACCAGCTGCAGTGCCTCAAGTGGTGGAATATACAACAGAAGCTTTGATATTTAATATGCATTTTATTTCAGCTAAAGTATTAGGCACTTGAAATAATGGCAGTAAACTAGAACAATATGCACGTAGTTGTAATATGATACTCACACTTTATTAAAAATAAAATATTTTCATTTATCTTTTGCAGTGATTCAGAAAGCCGAAAACTATGCAAGAAGATGAAGGTTGATCCTGGTTTGAAAGAGAAAGGGATAGAACTGCTACACTACAAGTATGTGCGTGAGTGGGTTAATAGTTATTTTTAAATGTTGAACATGCTATGATGCTCCATGGCTTTGAGAATGAACACTGTTGCACAGTACAATCCTGTACAGGGTTATTCACAGTTAAGTCCCTTTAAGTCTAGACTTGCAGTCTTTCTAAAGCAGTGATTATTTCATTGAATATTTGTATTCTAGTTTCTACTTTCTCCACAGTTTGGCTACTGGTGGACATTTCATTGTGAAGGATAAAATCCCATGCAGGCAAGATGTCCATGATTGCCTGCAATGAGTTGGTAGTCCCCAGTTAAATTCTGATTGAAATTGAGTCAATGTCTCTTACTGCTTTCCATGTGAACTCAGAATCCTTGCTTAACTGCCTTGTTCAAATCAATATGACTTTAAAATGCTTAATCTTGGTTACTGTATATAATCCATACAGATCTGATCTGCACATTGAATGGTTTATAATTTTGATCATCCTGGTCAGCCCAAAATCTGCTGGAATTATTCCCAAGGTTGAGTTTTGATCCCTGATTGTGAACCCCCCACCCCCAATCTTCTCCAGCTCAGACTTAGGTGCAGAAATGGGAGCTTGATTTATCTGTGCATTTGCTAGAGCTTGGAGTCCTTCGAAATACAGGCATTAGTCTCCACTTCAGGTGCGTAATGCGTAAAACTTTGCTTCAATGCTCTTTCAGTAAACTTGCCAAGCTAAGATAAAATTTCATATTTCATGTACCTCCCCTTTAGCTTGCTTTACATTGTTCTGGGAACTCCAGATATCACTGCTCTTGAACAGGGGTCAGTCCTCTAGCACAGAAAGGTTACAGCTGTGATTCCTCTAAGCTAGACTTCCTTGAATAGGAACTCCAAGAGATAGTTTCCTTGAGCCTGATTCGGTCTCCCTTTAAAGTGGTTACTGAGATGGGACTCAATGGTTGGCTCCAGGGCAGAGGCTCACCATTCCTTAGACATTTCCCTGCCAAGTGTTACTTTTTTATTGCCCAATTAAAGAGGGATGGAAAGTTTTAGCTCACTTTCAGATTTCTTGGAGCAGGTTGCAGGCTGGCAATTTTGATATATCTACTCATCGACCACAGCTATCTCTCACGGCCCATGAACTCACTTTCATGGTCAGGACAAAACTCTCAGCAGAGCAAGAACAAGCAGATGACCAGGCTTTGTTCAGACTGTGGAGCTGATCAGCTAGCCCAAGACCAACCCTTTCACTCTAACAACTGCAGGCATCAAAAGTAGGCAGGGACTTATCATCTTGACCAGGTGTCATCTCTTTCTTTTCCATAGTGAGATGGTAAGCAGAATTATAAATAGCTGGCTCCATGTATATGCATATTTATATAGATTATATTTTTGTTAAGATAAGTGTGTTGCACCTTCAGAGAACTGCCTCAATAAAAATGTGTTAGAGATCAATAATACATATATTTTTATTCCAATGCTAGCAGCAATAGTAGAAGGCCAAAGTGGTTTCTGGAAATTAGCTCCTCTTTCAAGCCCGGTGTGAAAGAAATAGGAAAAATCACCAGAATATGATCTTGAGTTGGTTAGGATTTTAAAAAGCTGATATGTTTGAAGAACAATTTGTCCATTTCTAAAAGTAATACTACCACTTTGAGTTAGCTTGAGCTACCTGTAAATGCTCCTTGATTCATTTCCACAAGGCAGTCTCTACCGATGCTTCCTGAATTAGCTGAAAGTATTTTATCAGTTCATTGATTTCAGAAGACTTGAGCACATATCTGTTTTTGTTCTACTGTATAGGGATTAAGCTGCACAAATAGAGCAATGCACTGTTGCAAATGGAAGTTCCCCTGGGTATCTGCCACTCCCCAAACCTGGCCTATGGTAAATGCTCTCATTAAGGTTTGTGGAAGTGATTGCCCATTAGAGACCTGTTTGTTTCAAGAACTTGTTTTTGATTATTCTGTTTTGCACAGGCCTACAAACTGAGGAAAAGTTCATTTAGTCTGACCAGAATAAAAAGCTGCATGATTTTCCAATGGCACTTCTAAAATTAATTGCTGTTTTTTTTCATACTTCATTTCTTGACAGGGATGGTGCATTTCACACTGAATATAACAGAGCACTTACACTGAAGGTAAATTTACAGCTGTTCCAGATCTTTTGGAAAAGAAAGCCGAGTTTGGATGTAGAACAGATGTTAATATATGCAGCTTTATTTTTGGATGGGGGAGAGGTGATACATTTTGTAAACAGCTGTTTGGGTGACCTAAAGGTCTCATATCTCCTGCACATATGCCTGCCAAACATCCTGTGAATCTGTGTGTGATTAACTAGATTGAGTTAATGCTAAATTGCAGCTTCATTGCAATCTGCTAACAAAGGGGGAGGGCGGTTATTGTGATTGTTTTTTAATGAGAAGATCTTTGCTTTGCTGTAAGTTCTCTTTTATGGCAGCCTATATCTAATAGCATGAAACTGAGAGTGATTGGGAAAATACTTCTCTTTTTATTTTTTCATCTGCTGTGAAACAAGATTAAAAGAGAGATGAAATGGCCTTTTCCCAGATCTCATTAGAGACACAGATTAAACTCACAGAGAAGTTGCCTTCAACCTAGAATGGGTGAAGTAGTCTTCCTCTCAAACCATTGTTTTCCTTCTCTTTCCTGCCTGACCGTAATAGGATTTTCACAAAGAAAGAATTTCAAAAGAAAATGGCATTAGAGAACACCAGAAAATAGACTCAGTTAAAGAAGCTCCTTCTCTGAGATTAGGGCCATTGTCAGAAGCAAGTGTGTTGACCATTTGCTGAGGGTTTTGCCTAGTCGGTGGCTCCATTGCCAAAACCTGGAGACTTTTGGCTTTGCTCTTACTTGAGCTTATTGTTCCCATTTCAACTGACCTTGCCAAGTAGACAAGAACAGTAACTTAGCAGACATTGTCCTCTTTCCTCTAAAAGGAGATATGGGTTGGATCCAGAAAGGAAAAGGAGGTGTGAGTGGTGATGTTAAGGAAATGGGTTCAGTGCCTTTGGTTGAATGTCTCCCACATTTAGACCTAATACAATTTGCAGTGGCTTAAGAAAATAATTCACAAAGAATCTCCTGAGGTACAGTCAGGACCAGAAATATTGGAACAAGGATAACTGTTTTGGCATTTGGTCTCTGTACACCACCACATTGAA